CCCCCCCCCCCCAAACTACGGGCCTGTTCAACGTAGCAGCTCTGTTCGAATGCCTTCTGCTGCTCAGTAATATTACAACTTTTTAAATCATTACCCAGTCTCAAGTGTTTTTTTTCTGGGGTCACACTGTCAATCAAGATGGCTGTTGCTATACACCAGGAAAGAAGATCTTAGCTTGTTTTTCGGCAAATCTCGGTACAACCCGGAACACTGTAACATTCATGTACATGTTTTCAGTGCCTGGGAGCAGGAATTGTATGGGGGATGTGTAGCTTTTTGTATACCATTATAAACTCAAGCTGAAATCAAATACTGTGGTCATTTACAATTTTTGAAATGAAACTTAAAGAAAATGTAGAATACACAATACATTTCACAAAAGAAACATTTTTTTGGTTCACAAATAAAACATGTATTATACACATACATGCATTATACAAACATAAGTGCTTGCGCAATCGGAATTAATGCAATACAATAGGCTAACAAAATATGTATGAATTCTTATGGGGAGGAAGAGACAAGGTTGCTCGAAAACAATGATAGGGGGTTTGGGCCAACAGGGAATTGGGATGCCAGATCTTCATAACATGAAGAAACAACAGAGGCTACTATAGGTAAAAAACACTATGTGAATCCGGACAAGATTCATCCATAAAACTATTTATTGAAAAACAGCTTGGGAGCGCAGGGGGAAACATTATCTTCAAATGTAGTTATAAAACAAAACTATTACCGATTAACTGTACAGACTTCCTGTGGGAAATGCTTTGAAACTTGAGATAGAGACAGTACTATACACAGATACAAATCAGATTATCTAGAATAATAAAAATAGGGTATAATCCATATTTTATAGGGATCTAGCTAATCTAAAATATAAATAGAGTTTCAGATTTGTTTGATGAAGAAGTCATTGTACCAAGTGGAACAGTTATAACACATGGGGAAATTTCATTAATTCAAAAACTGAAATGGTTTGTCTAGTAGATGTCATTCCAGAATATTTGTAGTATTGAAACCAAGGTATTGATGAGACATGTTTATCAATATCGGGAATTTAATCAGCAGGTGAATATGTTACAAAACAGAGTATAAAAAATGATCTGAGAAGTAGAGGGAAGAAAATTGAAGAGATGTTGAACCTAGGCTTTATAGGCTAGAAGAAAATGTATCAATTCATGATGAAAAAGTCAGTTGATAGTAAAATCAGGGAATTCCAGTTTAAACATTGTTTACACTAATAAGAAACTTCATAAAATAAATCCAGGAAAATTGCCCACAGAGATGTGTACATTTTGTCATGAAAACCTGAAAGTATTCAGAACATCTTTTCTATGAATGTCCTCTGGAGAGATATGTTGTTTAGTTGGGGAAAACCATTAAAATTAATAAATCTACCAAGTAGAATATGTATGATACTCTCAGATCCAGATGAATCACTGATAGTGAATTATATTTGTCTGCTAGCACGAAAATATATCTATCACTGTAAAATTACTGACATGAAACCCAACTTTACGTGTTTGCTACCATATGTAAAGAGAGTACTAGTATACCAATGTGAAAGCCTTATTGCAAAAACAAACAAAATGCTACAACACCTAAAACATGGAACTCACTAATAAAATTTATAACATAAATTGGAGAAACGCAAACTGAAAACAAATATATAGAAATGTAACATTTATAAAACATTTTTACCATTTATATTAGATTACTTAATAAAAAAATCATAAATTACAAAAATACACAAGTGCGTTCAAATTTGCGCTTAATCAAATCAAATATGGATTTTATAAAACAATGTTGCGTTATATTAAAGGAAATATGGAATTTGCAATAAAATTATTATCAATAATAGTACATCACTTGTGCCTTCAAGTTGGTATATGGTATTTGCTACCGCTTTGATTAGTTGGTGAAACAGACAACTGTTCTCAAATTCAATTACCAAAACTACAGGTACATCAATAAACAATATTGGAAAAAGTTCATGTTTTACTTTGTCATAATATTAGCCGATCAATTTTTAAATTAATAAACTGCCTAAACCAATGACAGTCGGATATACTAGTATGTCCCCGGGGTTCAAATATTCATATAATTATGGCCAGGCCGAGTTCAGAGTTCGAACCTTGTGTTTCTTGTGAATATGTTTGCATGTATGTCTGTAATTTTGATTCAGCAGTTAATTGTTATTTTTCGATCAGTTTCATGCAACATTTAGACACTTTAGTCGCCATCATTTTTTTTTTAAATTTGACTGGATTATTCGGTCCACCAGCCCCATGCCAGGAAAATCCATAGCTATGATTCCCCATCTATTTTTTTAGCACTGCTAATATGGTTGTAAACTTTTTCATTAACCTTTTCCGCGCAATCATATGGGATTATACCCCCCGAACCACTGCAGTACGTCACATACATCGTGGAAATATTTCCTCTTTTGGCTTCGTCTAGATGAGCGATAACATTGTCCACTTTTTCGCGTACTTTATAAAATTTTACGTCATATTTATCTGCGACGTTAAGGAGATCGTACTTGATTCCAAACGTTGCTTCTCCGTAACTACAAAGAACTACAATTTTCCCACGAGCTTCCTTCAATGTCGGCATAGTGTCAACTTCATTCCAGAAATCTTTCGCTCGGTCATGTTTATCGATGTATAACTGCACAGATTCGTCCATTGACCTTGAATTTTGTCTTGGTTTATGTTCTTCCTTGATTCTCAATATTATCGTTTCACTGCTGTTGTCTTTTAAAAAACTGATACAGGTCCAGAACACGTCATCCAAATTTGCATATTGGTAAACCATTCCATGGTGTAATGGGAGATCGTTCTCATAGTGCCTACACCCAATGTCTAACCACCTTATACCAGCATTTAATTGGGCTCGTAGGCTTCGACTTTGACACTGGTAAGCTATACCCCCGTGTCTAGCCATCGTCTGATGAGTACCTGGTATGGACAGTGCAGCAATACTGGTATCACCACTTATTCTTGACATCCAGTCAGTCCTATAAAACTCTTTTTCACCATTGTCGTAGTAAAGACTCTCTTTTCGCGGGATTCCTGGAGTGTTGCCCATTTTGTCTTAATTAATTAAGTCAACTTATTCGACGAAAGAGGAACTAAGTCAACTTACTTTAATGCGCCAGCACCGTGACACGACGAAGGAGGGGCTAACATTCCAATTAATTATTGATCTAATATAACAGGTGTGACTCATTTTATAATATCTCATGTCATGTGAATGCATGAATAGATATATCATACATATTTCTGTACACAAAACATATATTGAATATACGAGTCAACGCCGCCCGCACATTTTTTATACGATTGATGTTATTGTAGCAGTTGGTTTTGACCTGTAAGTGTTACAATGTGATGAAAGGCGTTCACATATGTTGATTATACATTATGTTTCCATGACGATTGTCACATGCATAAACATATTAGTCAACTGTTATCTCAGTTGTGTCGGGTTGTACCTGCCTCGTTGTACACCGTACCATGTCTAGACATGACGTGGACTTCGACATAAACAAACCCATGACATAATCGGCAATCGAGAGAACAATTGCAAACACCTTAAAGGGCGACAGTCGTCGTGCCTCGTCCTATTCGATATGGGACTCATAGCGACGTATACAACGCGTGTAAAATACATTGTTTATTTACATGAAATTCAAATACGCGCTGCGCGACGACCACCGCGCTTTAAACTCATAACCGTTGAATCTACAGGCAATACCTACAACTCCATGTGCTGCTACATCACACAGGCGCTGTCAAGAATTTTTATTTAGTATTATCCAGAAACTGTAATATCCGCAATTTTTATCTCGTCTTCTCAAAGTCTCAGACAAACAAAGACGGCGACTTTGATTGTTGCGCATACTAATGAGTACAAACCTAGACCAAGCTTTAATTAGGTATTTTAAGGTGATTGGAAGGTATTAAAGAAGTCGCCGGCGGTAATTAGTGGAAGTCGCGCCCAGTTCAAAACTTGTTGAAGTGATTTCATTAGAAGAACGCGTTGGATTGTGCATGCGCGGCGCGACGACCACCGCCTTTTAGTTAACAATTAACTCGTGTCTCGAATGTTACTGCTTTAGTATTATTATACAAATATTCAACCCTAGCCAAGGTCAACAAATCTGTATATCATCCGTGGTAGGGGCAATATTTGTATTATTTTACCGTATAAAAACAGCACTGCGAGATCTCTTCCTAAGTGTCGGTTTATGGTTCTAAATGTGCACATTCTTGAGATCAAAAAATAAAAGAAGTATTTAAATTCAGAAAACAAATAAATAACACTAGGAGAACGTCATCAAACCTATGTCTCTGTGGCCATCTTCTTAATGGCTTTCCAACTACTTTTTTTAGACATTTCACTCAACTTTTTTCGACTTTCAAAACAACATTTACATCTAGTCGACCAACTTTGTAGACTCTGCTATCAACTTGAACGACATTCTAATCAACTTTCACAACTTTTCTTCAAACGTTTTTGATGTTCCGACCAACCTCTCAGCTCGTAGTTGATGCCAAACGTTGCTCCTCCATAATTACAAAGAATTGCAATTTTCCCAGGAGCGTTTTTCAACTTAATGTCGGTATAGTGTCGTATGCATTTCGGAAATCTTTTGCTTAGTCATGTGTATCGATAAATAACTACACAGATTCGTTCACTGGCGCGAATTATTTTTCGGTTTATGTTCTTTCTTGAGTCCCAAAATTTACGTTTTTATTATATTATCTCGAGAATGGACAGATGTAGATTATATAAAATATAAAGTATTTGTTATTTAATCTTGACTGAGACAGGTCTAGGTAAACAATGCTATGGTGTTTGAAGAAATCCTTCTCATATTGATAATTTATCTAAAAGGATGCGATGATTAACCAGACCGAATTCCTTTATAAAGTCGCGAAACACTTTTACCTTTATATCCAAAATATAAAACTATAAGGTATTTGTTATTTAATCTTGAATAATGAGACATAACACTTTATACCTCAAAGGTACCTACACGTTTAATGTCCAATCCAAACGCTTAAGCCAAACATTATTTGCTATTTTTCATTCCTGCATGTACGTTGTTTTAGGTCGTATTACTCATTCCCATAGTTATCGTGGACAACACAGTAATTTATTCCCCCTCCCCCACAAAAACGTATCTACATTGTCATATATAGGGTATAACTTGAGCATTGGTTTACATTCATGGCTAGAGAAGTCTGAACGATGGAGGCCTGAGTTTAAATGAAAAGTCATTTTCTTTTACATTTCAAAAAATAGAGTGTTATTAATAACATATATCATTGGTACAATTTATTCCAAAGCCGGGAATTTGTGGAGATAATACATGGAGATACCACACAGACCTTCTAACTGCAAATATAGCAATATTAATAAAGTGTTTTACGAGGATTTCGAAGATGAAAAAATGAAAAATATATCCGTGCTTTCGAATAAATTCATCCTATAGAGGGCGACGTTCTCAGATACGTGGTGAATCGATGATCCACGAATCATGTCGACAGGAGAGTATTTGGTGCAAAGATGTTGAGGGAAACTAGAAAATTCACTTCATAGTTGTAGTACCTAATGAACTATTTGATGAGCGCATAACCGCGGAAGCATACACACTTGGGCTGATGACAATTCATGAAGGGCAACACTCTAACGGCAACCACACAGTACAGGGACTGTAGTTAGCGACGGATGTATGTTTTTTTTGTTCGGGCTACACAATGTAGTATTATGGGATGTGCGTGTACAGATGTTTTAATAGGGGGCGCGTAACTTCTAAGTCCGCCGCTGGTAGTGTGATCTCATTCTTGGAAGACAAATTTGATTTTCAGCCTGAGCCTCATACTTCACTTTAGTCTTCTTAGCCAATATGGGTTCTAACTATCAGTCCATACGTTTTGTTGAATCGCGCCTCCATTAAGGCCGGGATACACTCACTATACCAGATTTTGGGCGGCAACAATTCTCGGACACGCAGGTGATGTCACTGTTAAACAGTGTTTAAATTTATCGAGCGCACTCACCAGAGTTAAAAATATTCGTACATTTTGTATTATGATACAAAATAAATTTGGGTTGAACAACATTTTTTTTTATCTAATCGGGAAAGAGATAAATTAATATATTACAGCGTTTTTCATTGTTGTTTGGTAACGAGTTGTCATTTAAAAAATCAAATGGCAATGTAATGAAATGCATTACGTTGGGAATTATTGCTCGTAGAGAGCGTTAATGGCGTCACACGTGCGCCACATGAAATAATGTCCTGTTCAATCGTGCGACTGACATTGAGAATACATGATTTATATTCAACACATGCGAACGCCTGCCATCACATGGCGACAGCTCAAAACAAACTTATACTAGTACAACAAGTAACCTGTAGAATACTGTGTGGGTAATATTTTTTATATTGATTTTTGTTGCATTTGCAGCAAATAGTTACCAAACAATGAGAAATCTATAGGATTGAATATACCCCACAGCTGGCTTCACATGCATTGTTCATAGTTCATATGGTGCTTACACCAGGATTTAATTACAGCACCTAGGCGGTATGTGGTTACAGCTTAATGTTCGAGTAATCGCAAGAAATTGACATGACAATAGAAATTCATTAAAGACTGCCACTCCCATGCAATTAACAACGAGTGAAATTCCTGGGATTGAAACATATATTTTGAAGTCACTGATGTAGGCAACGAATAACTGCAAGTTGACATAAAGACGAGGTAGTTTATTTAATCAGTGGTCAACTAGAGGCTGAAATTATAATTAATTTGTTTATTTCAATTTCTCCCGACGTCAAATAGGATGTTTTGGGGTGTAGTTTACATTGTATATGGAGTGGTAGGGTCGGGTGTAATGTGTTCATTTCCAACTATTATGAAGTCACGTAGAATTTCACTTAATTTATTTTTGCTGACATGTTTTCAAGCATTACATGTGAATCTAATTTTCACTGCGCTGTGTCTCAATATAGTATGAGGGAAATGGCATATTCACTGGAATTTATTTCAGGGGAAAAATGTTTTCAGTGATAATGAAGTATTATGACAGATACCCTCCCCGTGGCTTTCATTGCGTATGGAAGTTATTTTCACGAGTGATGCGGTGTATCCTGCTGCCGTACTTTCACGAGCGAAGCCACGGGGAGGGTGTGGGGTTCTGTTATTATACACATGTCCCATATTTGATTATTTCATATTAAAAAAAGAACGTGCAACAAACCGGGATAGAAATTTAGATCGGGGAACCCAATTGCCCATTAATATGCTCCAAGACAGTGCTGCGACCTAGCAACGCTTGTCAGTGTAGAACGCGTGTCGCTGACGTGTGAAAATAAAATAATCAGACGTCTAATTTAAGTCATTGTCCGAATAAATAACTCGTGGATGTTTAAGCGCGGTGGTCGTAGCACAGCGCGTGTTCGAATTTCATGTAAATAAACAATGTATTTTACACGCGTTGTATACGTCGCTGTGAGTCCCTTATCGAACAGGACGCGACACGACGACTGTC